CAGAATGGGCTCCAGGATGCAGAGTGTTCTGGAATAGGTGTCCATCAGGCATTGAGAATTATCAGGAGAGACTACCTTTTATCCAAACCTGCAGAAAATACGTGATAGAGGAAGATATGCTGAGACAGAAAATGTAAGGCAGTTCATTTCCACCGGTCTTAATCTGACTCTAAATTATGAGGCAAGACTCTCCGCAGAGAGTAAGACAGGTGGGTGGAGGCCCAAACGTTCCAGGGCTTGAGGAACAAGGAGAAAAGTTATCAGGCTGTGGGAAGTTCAGAGAGGCAATGGGAGACTCACTGCTGATTTCACCCACCTGAAGAGTGGTCTCACCTCTAAAGGAGCAGCTCCAAAAGCAGGAGAAAGAAAATCAGAGCAAAGGAGAGGTCCACGGAAGCACCATTAGAAGGGCACTCGGGCCAGGAACAGTGGCTCGTGCCTGTAATCCCAGCACTTTGGGAGGCAGAAGAGAGGGGATTACTTGAGCCCAGGAGTTCGAGACCAGTACTGGCAACATAGCAAGATCTCATCTCTACTAATAAATAAAAAGAAGGGCATTCTGAAAGCCTGACTCAGGGTTTGTAGTTACTAAATAGAGTCATCAATTGGGGACACAGCATACAATTTCAGACAGAAAGTATAGTCAATAACTCAAATAAAGCAGCAGGGTATGTTGGTGTACATTGGTATACTCCTGTTTTTGATTTTATTCAAAGAATGTCAGTAATAGCACATGTCAAATGACAAAGGAGTTTTTAATCCCAGAAACACAAAGCTAGTTTAATGTTGGAGATGGGCTAATGTAATATATATAAAGAAATAGAATAAAGGGAAAAAATACATGGTCATCTCAATGGACACTAAAAAATATTTAATAAAATTGCATGCCCATTCTTTAAAAAAAGGAACATTACAAACTAGTAATAACTTTTATGAATTTGTCTGACAGAAATATTCACAGATATACTCAAAGATACACGAGCAAGAATTTAAAAAGAAATAAAAGGCCGGGTGCGGTGGCTCATGCCTGTAATCCTAGCATTTTGTGAGGCTGAGGTGAGTGGATCATGAGGTCAGGAGATTGAGACCATCCTGGCCAACATGGTGAAACCCCGTCTCTACTAAAAATACAAAAATTAGCTGGGCATGGTGGCACGCGCCTGTAGTCCCAGCTACTCAGGAGGCTGAGGCAGGAGAATCGCTTGAACCCAGGAGGTGGAGGTTGCAGTGAGCTGAGATCATACCACTGCACTCCAGCCTGGGCAACAGAGCAAGACTCTTGTCTCAAAAAAAAAAAAAAAAAAAAGAAAGAAACAAAAGACAAAATGACTAGAAAGTAGGCAGCAAAACTGTGATCATTTACAGACAAAAACATTTTTCCATCCAGAAAATCCAGGAAAATAAACTACAAAATCATCATGTTTCCTACAAAACAAATAACTGGTTAGAGATGTAATATATAATATGGGAAGTTCCCATTCACAGTAGCCACCTGCATTAGTTTGCTAGGGCTGCCACCACAAAACACCACAGAGTGGCTGGCTTAAACAGAAATGTGTTTTTTCACAATTCTGGAGGCTAGAAGTCTAAGATCAAAGTGTTGGCAAGTTTGGCTTCTTCTGAGGCCCTTTTCCTTGCATTGCAGATGGTATCTTCTCAAAGCATTTTCAGAAGGCCTTTTCTCTGTATGCAGGCATCCCTGGTTTCTCCACGTGGCCTAATCTCCTCTTCTCATAAAGACACCAGTCAGACTGGATTAGGGCCCACCCTAATGACCTCATTTTAATTTAATCACCTTTTAAAGTTCCTACCTCCAAATACAGTCACATTTTGAGGTACTGGGGATTAGGATTTCAATGCATGAATTTCAGTGGGAGAAACACAGTTTAGCCCATAACATTCCCAGAAAATATACAATACCTAAATACAATCCTAAAATGTTATATAAAAAACCTAGAGGAAGGCAGCTACACCATAAAATTTGACTGAAAGACATAAATGAACATTTGAATAAATGGAAAAAAAATGCACCATGCTCTTGGTGGGAAAGTCTTAGTATTATAAACTTTCAATAAAGTATCAATTTATTCCAATTACTTTACTGGTAAAACACAATTCTAACCGAAAGCCCAACAAGATTTTCTTCAAACCGCTCACCCTTTTTCGTTTCTCTTACATATTTCTCAAATCACCTTTAATTGTATACTCTTTATTTCTAATGAGTGTCCCACTATCAGCTCAGACCCAGCCTTTCACCTCAAATCAACCTTCTCAACCACCCTATATCTGGCAACGGGAAACCATCATCCTATCAGTCACCTAGGATAAAACCTCTGATTTTGAAAATTCTGTCCTTAGCCCAAGTATAAAGTCAGTCCTGTGTAGCCCTTCCTGCTAAAGTTAAACCTGCACACCTTAGCTCCATTCTGTCTGCCTTCCTTACCTCTGCACATCATCATCATCTAGATTCATCTTTCTAAAATATGATTTTCACTGTTATTTTTCAAGTTTACAAATACTGTAGTCGGTAAGTCTACTAGGTGACCTTGGACAAGTTAGTTAATCACTGTACCTCAGTTTAGTCATCTATAAAATGGGGATAACAGTACTTACCTCATAGGGTTGTTATGAAAATTAAAAGTTATAATTTTAAGGCACTTACAACAGGAAAAATTTTATATGTATTGTTAAATCAATAAACATTGTCCCCACTGTTTTACCTGATATCTAAAGTGTTCATTTCTGCGGGTTGAAGCATTGTGCTCTCTTTCCAAGTGATTATATTCAGAAATACTTGAATATTTTATCCATGTACACAGTTGTCAACTACAGCATTATTTTTAACTGAAGGCAACCCATATGTCTATCAGCAGAAAAATGTTTATAAAAGATGGTGAAAGCCGGGTGCATTGGCTCACACCTGTAATCCCAGCACTTTGGGAGGCCAGTGCGGGCAGATCACCTGAGGTCAGGAGTTTGAGAACAGTCTGGTCAACATGGTGAAACCCCATCTCTACTAAAAATACAAAAATTAGCCGGGCATGGTGGTGGGCACCTGTAGTCCCAGCTACTCGGGAGGCAGGAGAATTCCTTGAACCTGGGAAGTGGAGGTTGCCGTGAGTTGAGTTTGCACTACTGCACTCCAGCCTGGGCGACAGAGCAAGACTCCGTCTAAAAAAAAAAAAAAAAAAAAAAAAAAAAAAGATGGTGAAGTCATACTATGGAAAACTATGGAGAGAAAGGTAAATTTGTAGATAAAAGACACATCTGACATGAAAGGATGGCTATATAGCACATTGTTAAGTGAAAAACAAAAGCAGGTTGAAAAACAAGAAGTACAATATGCTTCTATGTATAATACACTCAGTTTGGGAAGAATAGAAGGATACATATGAAGCTGTTAGAAGACAGAAGTCTCTTATCAAATGAGGCAGTATGACCTTCCTACAATAAACGTGTAACATTTATATTAAATAATTAATATTAATTGAAAATAAAGAAATATAAAGGAAAAGAAACTAAAATACTGGATGTTTAAAACTTCTGGCTGGGTATGGTGGTTCACGCCTTAATCCCAGCATTTTGGAAGGCCACAGCGGGCGGATCACGAGGTCAGGGTTCCAGACCAACCTGGCCAATATGGTGAAACCCGTCTCTACTAAAAATACAAAAATTAGCCGGGCATGGTGGTGTGCGCCTGTAATTCCAGCTACTCAGGAGGCTGAGGCAGGAGAACTGCTTAAACTTTGGAGGCGGAGGTTGCAGTGAGCCAAGATCACGCCACTGCACTCGAGCCTGGGTGACGGAGCGAGACTCCGTCTGAAACAAACAAACAAAAACAAAACAAAAAAACTTCCTTATCTCCTGGAAGACTCACTTGTCAAAAGATAACTAGTCCTTTTGCCTTTGATGAGGTTAACTTCAGACGAACTAAATGAAAATACTTGTGGATTTGGGGATGAGTGGGAGTCAAGTGCTAGAATTTGCTTCGGAACTTCTCTTCCACCAAGAATGACTTTAAACTTCTTGCAAACTATCCCCAAATGTTAACCCACATTTTTTATCTGAGAGGTATGCGTCATCAAATATTTTGGTTTTATCCCGAAAGTCAGCTAACAGAGATGTAATTACCTGGGCAACTCTAATGGAATGAGAAAGAAAACCTTCCATCTTAAGCACTGATGAGGGTTAAGGAACAGCTGCCCTTTACAATAAACAAATCTCACTCTCTGAGGCAGAAATTCGCCATATAAAACACTGAATTTCTTCATCTTTTTGAGAATCATTTCCACTATCCAGAGAAAAAAAATTCAAATGAGTTGGAAATAAAGTCAAGCGCAGCTGAAAAATCCTTTATCCACAGACGTTTTTTAGTAGTGCCTATGTGCTCAGACTCCAGGGCTAGGGGTTTGAAAGCGCTCTACCAAGGGTAGTCAGGGGAAACGGCCTCCAAGAAACGAATTACACGGTGCACTTTAGTTACCTAGGCAGCAGTTTGTCTAGGAAACAGCTTATTGTTTTCATTTGTCATCCCTGGGCCTCACTAGGTATCCGGAAGCTCGGCCCCAGCCGCCACCTGGTGACGCTAATGACGCGCGATGTCTCCCAGTTGCCGCAATCAGAAAGGCTGAGCCTTCTCCTTTAAGAAGCTGACTCACGTGGATGCTGTGTTGTGTGCTCTCAGCTGAATGGGGGAGGTCGTCCCCGGACTCACGGCATTGGCCGCCTCGAGAAAGGGGGCAGAGTTAGCCTCTTTGATTGGCTGTACGAGTCCGGGATGCTGGGTCAGGGGCGGGGCGAGCTGTCGCGAGCCTGCCCTGGGTCTGCGGCTTCTGGGAGGGGTGGGCCGTGAAGCGGAGGGGTGCGGGAGTGGGGGAGGGTGAGCCAAAGAAGGGGCGGGGCCCCGCGGAAAACGCAGGGAGCCGAGGAGAGGGGCGGGGCCTAGAAACGAAGGGTGTTCTGGGCCAACCGGGAGAGTTGACAGCGGGAGGGGCGGAGCCACGCCGGGTGACTGACGTTGAGGCCCAACCAGGGAGAGGCGGGGCCAAGGCCAGGGCCTGACTAAACCTGGAGACTGGGGCGGCCGAGGGGCTTTAGACCAGCTGAAGAGCGAGGAGCCGCTGGCAGCCGCGGATCTCACCGCCGCTCAGGGTGAGTCCCACGGGAGGGGCTGGGCTAGAGGCCGGTGGGGACTGAGGCGCCCGTTCGGGTCGGGCGGCTTCGAGGCACTCGGGGATCGGCCAAGGGTGGGGGGCCCAGGCAGGAAGTGCCTCTTCCTCGCCGCACGCATCCCGGGGTCTCAGAGCGGCCGCCCTCAACCCCTCAGGGCGGGCCCCGGCGCCAGGACCGCGGGCGGACGCGCGGAGCTGTTTGCTCTTTGTGAGGCCTGGCGCGGCGACTGTCGTCGGCCCGCCCCCGCCGCGCAGCCGGGCGTCTGGTGCGACAACAGCGGCGACCCCTCCGCGCGGCGCCCGCGCCTCCGCCCCGCTTCCCCGCCGCGCCCTCAGCGGCCAGCCGCCGAGGCCCACGGTGCCCCCTGGGCGGACGGTTTGGCCGCGACCTCCCACCCGCCGCGCCGCGCCCGCCCCGCCCCCACCCGCCGCAGCGTCGGGGGCGCGCCCGGTCTCCGCCCCGAAGCCAAGTCGGAACTTGGCCGAGTTGTTTGGGCCGCGATGACCGCACGGAGTGAACCGTCCTGAGCAGGGCCCACGCCCGGACCAAGCGGCCCAGCCACCGGGAGGGGGCGGCGTCTCCCTTTGCCCCCCGTATTGAACGTCCACCTCCCCCGCCCCCCTGCCCGGAGGACCCGGGGCTGACAGCGCGGGGTGACGCTTGTGCAGCCCACCGGGTGTCGGGACCAAGAGAGCCCGCCGGCCACCCGCTCAGCTGTTTCCTGCCCATGTTTGTTGTGCCGGGGGCTGCCCCGCCGCTGGAGCCGCGCTCCGCCGCCCCAGGCCCTCCCGATTGGCCGGCGGGCGTCACGTGGCCGCCATCAGCTGGGCCAGCGGGGGCGCTCGCGGGTGCCACTGCGGCTGCCGGCCGAGCCCACCCCGGGGTCGCCCGGGCCGGCCCAGCTCTGCCAGCTTGGGTCCTCCGCTTGCTCTCCGCTCGCTGTTGGGAGGGTGGGCGTGCCCTTGCAACCCCTTTCCTGTACCCTCCTCTGCAGGTAGATGGCACAAACGAGTGTCCGGATCAGCGGGAGTGGGAAATTGAAATACTACAAAGATCTGTTTAATCCTGACACCAACTAATCTCCCTTTCAAGGGAGAGTCTGGGAAGCTGTTCAGCTCATTTATTTTTAAACTTTTTCTGTTTACAGAGATCTGTTGGTAATCTGAGGATTTTTATTCCACGTCTTCTTGACAGATGGAAAACCTGAAGTAACCTCGGGCTAACTTTGTATTTTTGGAAAATTAGTACACTTGGTGGTGAAGAAACTGGGAGGAATAGGATATTAGCTAACTTTGCATAGCCACATATACAGCGTTGCAGCTGCATTCCACCAGGGAGGAACCAAAAGGCATATGGTGTTCCCAGGGTACATATTCATCCCAGAAGTGAAGTGCCTTGGTGGATTCGTTTCCTGAAAGTTTATCGCATACTTGTACTGGGTTAGGTAAGAAGTAAAGTACAAATAATTTAGAATAGTTTCTCTAGAAGTTTATAACTTAATCAAAAGTCGTAGACAAATGCAATCGAGCAATAATATGAAGTTAAATAGTAAGTTATGAGACGTTAGTAAAATATATGTGACTTGGAAAATGTTACCTGGTTGGATCATGGCGAACTTTTCTCTAGTTTCCCTTTTCTGTTCTCTATTTAAGTAATGAGAAAAATAAAAGGTTTAGAAAAAATAAAAGCGAAAGGAAATAAGATCAAAAATTATGAAAAGAAGAAATTAAAGCAGCTACTACCCTCTGAAAAACAGTCCATGAGACATCAAGGTAGTCCTAGGTATACTTGTGCCCAAAATATCATTTTAGGTTTAATAGTGAATGCCTATAGAGATCAGTGTCAGTTTTAAAGTGTTCCTGGTGTAGTAATGTCAGTGTAATGCAGGAACTGAACCTTAGCTAGACCTGAACTTGCTGCTTGACACTTGGGTCGAGAAGCCAGACAGATTACACGTCAGTCCACCTAGTTAGAGGCTTTTGGTAATGCATCACAAAAAACGAGATCATGAAATTGTCTTACTAGGGTTTGGGGGGATATGACCAACTCAGATTGTGCACGAACACACGGTTTCCTGAGTTAAATGACTAGTCTGAATTTCTGATATTTAAACAAATGTAAGTGTTACTGAAATATAGTGAACTTGAAAATCATCTAACAAAACAGGAAAAAATAAGGCATTGTTGAGGGGGGGAGAACAAAAATATATCCTTAAAACTTACTGCAAATGAAGACGTGATTCCACAACCAGGACATCATTTGACACAGCAAAGTGAACTGGTCGCATACTGCAAGAGGATAGCAGAGCTTGCTTGTGCCACTGAAAACTTACCTTGTTACATATTTTGCACAAAAATTGGAAAGTTGGTTGTATGGATCAAACTGTTTTCCCATGTAGATTTTTTTAATAGCGTTTAGTCACAACTCAGTATAAAAAGTTGATGAAGTTACAATAGCCGTAAGTGCTCATTATTATGGTAATCAACCCAGCACTCTTAAAAGTTTTTTGGGTTTTTATCCTTTGTTTTGGCGAGGGAGGGAAGAGATTAAAAACGAGATACGAAAGCTGGCTTCCACCGGATTCCATTTTAGCAGAATCATTGCAAAACAAAACGACCTCTGCAAGGGGCAGGTTCCTTTAACCCTTTCTGAGCTAGATGCCTACATACTCGGTTCCCTGCAGCGGAGTCTTTGTACCTTGCCTTTGTCCCATCTTCTGGTGCAATGGAAAACCCACTGCCGTCTGTCTGACACCTGGGATCTGGTGGAGTGTGTATTCTATGGAAATGCCCTGAGGCGATGGTTTCATTTACTAAGGAAAAGTTTATCTGTGAACTGGGAGTTTTTCCATCCATCAGAAGGTCCTATGAGATGCAATACCTACCCTCCCTGGTATTTTTAGGGCTGGGAAGTGGTGCTTCCCTTGACTAATTCCACTTGCCAGGGTTGAAACCAAACTGGATTATTAATTATAGGGACAACAAGTACCTATTTTAAGACCTAGAACTGTGACATGCTTCAGAAGGTTTCTAACTTTCCTCCAGCTTCTAATTTCTATCACCTGGTCGCTTAGCTGTAGCATAATTAACAGGAAGTGAAGCCAGTTAATTGTTACTGTTTCATATCCTTTCTGGGCCATGCTTTTCTCATCTGTCATAGGGCGAGTTGGGATGGGGAATGTTGAAGAATAGATAATCTAGTTTTACCTTTATTGAGCATTCACTGTGTGCTAGGCACCGTTCTCAGAATAGAGTATCTTCTTTTAATTTCTCATAACTCAGAGATGGCTGCTACTCTCGCCATTTTACAGATGAAACAGGGGAGGAGAACTCACACAGTGTTTCCAAAGCTATTAAGGGGAAGAGCTGAGATTTGAATCTAGGAATCGCCAGAGTTCCAGTATCTCAGCTCCACAGTTTAAGACCTGGGGGTGGAGAGAGAGACAGCAGCTGGTAGATATTTTCTATTTTTATAATCTTTATTAGAGTTGATCTTCAACATGCTGAACTGGTTACAGAAAGTTTAAGATTTTAGCTAGAAAATCAGTAAAGAAAAGGGGAATGGGATTAAACTGATCCTTTCAAATACTCCTATCTAGCCTTAATCCCAAATACCAACCAAGTTTCCATTTTTTCTGGAAAAGACTGCTTTCTAAATGCAAAGCTCTTTTACTATCAGAATGTGTTTTTAAGCAGGGAAAACTTTTTTTTGGTAAAAGACCAGGTAAAAAATATTTTAAACTTTGCAAGCCAGAAGGTTTCTGTAGCAGCCCCTCATACCTCTCCATTGTAAAGTGGAAGGAGTTAAGTGTAAACAAATGGGCGTGGCTGTGTTCCTGAAAACTTTGACACTGAAGTGTGAATGTCATATAATCATGTGTCAGAAAATATTCTCCCCTCCCCCCAACCATTTAAAAGTATAAAATTCATTCTCAGCTTGTGGGCAGTACAGAAACAGGTGGCGAGCTGAATTGACCACAGCCTTCCCTGCTTTTAAGGAAAACAATTAGCAATGAGCCAGACAAGTGAACAAGATACCGTATTTCGTTTGATAGTGTATGCGTAAGATAAACCAATAGTCTTTTTAGAAAATTGTTTTACTGATGTGGAAGCAACTGGGAAATTATATAGTCCATCATATCCATCATGCATTTTAAAATAATGCATTCCTGGACACTCTTTGGCAGATTTCTGAAGAGAATCACCTTTTTTTCCCCTCTTAACAGATTCTGTAGTTTAAAAAAAAATTCTGTAACAAGGCAGAGATCTGAAAATGTTTTTTATATTTCACCAGAGTCTTCTGATAAAAGAGAAATTGGAAGTTCTAGATAGCTAAATATGCTATTGGTGGGAGAGGGAGGAAATTGAAAATAATGCTAAAATACGATCTATGAAATTATCTATAAATTTCACTTATATTTTCATCCCAGCCCCTCACTATTTCAGGTAATTTCAAGTAAACTAAGAATAGGCTTCCAGTTAAACAGTCAAGCTTGGTGCTTTTCTTATTCAACCTTTTTAGGGTTTTTATAACCTGGACCTACAAGAAGATAGTACCAAAGAGGCCTTATGTATAACATTATAAGGTAGGGAACATCTTAAATAAAACTTAAGCTTTATGATGAGTTTAGCTCTCATTTCAGCTATAAACTTGAACTTCAGCACTGACATATACCAAAGTCTGCGTGTTGCTACTAAAGGACACAGTAAGCTGCCCCCAGAATCAACACCAAACATTAGCTGTCTGTGAAAGCAGCTCACTCTTAAGATGTTTTAGCAATACGTGGCTGAAGAGATCTAGGATTACTCTAAGTCCAACCAGGGTGATTAGCATACTTGGGGAATATTTTGAATGTAAAAGCAATCAGACAGGAAGCAGATCAGTGGTTGCCAGTGGCCGTGAGTTGGAGAAGGTATTGGCTGCAGGCTGGTGTGAGAATTTTTGAGGGACTGATGGAAGCATTCTAAAGCCAGTTGGTGGTGATAGTGGCACAATTTTATAAATTGACTAGAAGTCATTGAATTGTACACTTATAGTGAGTAAACTTTGTCATTTAGAGTATTCCTTAATAAAACTGGTTTTTCTTCTTTTTAAAAACACCAGCAATTTTCTATTCTGTCAGAAAAGTTTCAAAGTTTATAAGGGAGCAGCCTCTATGAGCTTTTAGAAAGGGGTGGCACATGCCTTTGACCGTATTTTTGTAGCTGTGTGTAGCAGAAATAAAGTGGTATGTATGAATGTATGTTGGGTTTCACAGTTCCCACTCCCTGACCCTGAAAGTTTCATCCAGATGTGAGGAGAGTTTGAATCTAATACAGTGATGAAGGGGAGGGAGGAAAACTTCAAAAAGTGATTTAGGAAGTCTTGTTAATTTTGCAGTTTTTTAAATGACTTACTAGGGTTTCTAGTTTAGGAGAGTTTGTGATTGCAGTTGACACCAACCAAGATAGGGAATACAGGAGGAACAGCAGGGAAGCAGGAGGGGCTGATGGTACACCCTGAGGGAGAGAGTAAATCTGACAGCCCTCTAATTGCTAGGGAGAGAATAGAATGCAGTGGCTTGGCCACTTCTGGAAAGTCACAGTCTCTTTAATTCGTCTATAAAAGTGAGGTGATAAATACCTACTTTAAAAATTGTCAAAATTAAATGTGGTATGTAAGTACCAAGTACAGTGTCCCATACAGTGTAGATGCTAAGTAATTATTAGGTCTAAGGCAGAGTTCAATATGTTGTTCAGGTCCAGAGAAGCCTGATTCAAGTGTTATATCTTAGCTTTTTAATGACTGTCCTCCTTAAATAATGAAGTGGCTGTCTTAGTTCATTCTGACTGCTCTAACAGGATACTGTAGACTGGATGGCTTATAAACAACAAATGTATTTCTCCCAGTTCTGGAGGCCAGGAAGTCGAAGATAAGATTCAATGTCTGTTGATGGTACCTTTTAGCCTCGTCCTCACATGATGGAAACGAGCAAGGCAGCTCTCTGGGACCCTTTTATAAGGACAGTAATCCCATTTTTGAGGACTCTGTGCTCGTGACCTAATCACCTGCTAATGCCACATATGAATTAGTGGGGTGGGGTACACAAGCATTGAGACCATAGCAGTGGCATTTTAATGGGTGTCAGCCTCTTGAGAGTTTGAATAGTGCCAGTGTTAGGTTGAGTTTCTAACCCTGCAAAGGCCAGGGTTACCTTTGGAGCCTAAGGACCCTACAGAGGTTTTTCTACTTCCTAAAGACCTTTGACAGCAAGTGATGTTTTGCTTGCTTCTGCTAGATCCTGTGGCATTTTCTTATCTTTCTTAGCAAACAAAAACCACATTCTACAGTTCTATATATATATATTCTGTATAAATGGCAACCACAACTAGGAATAGTGTAACATAAGGTTTTGCTCAGATATTTTTGGTCTTGGTAATGAATCATATAATTGAATCCAGTAAAAATACTTGGGTAAAGAGAAAAAATAGATGGAATTGGAATCAGGGAAGTCATGTTAAGTCTATTTACCCTCAGTAGGAAATGATCACAGTAGCTTTTAGCCAAGGATAAAATGATGTGAGCAGAAGGTATAAGGGAAGTTCACTTTGAAGTCCAGCATATTTACCACAACAGCATGGTGTCACAGTGATCAATGTAGAAACAGCTAGTTACTCTCCATTATGGTTGAAATAAATTACAACATGAATATTGTATTTAAAAGTCTTAAGAGAAATTGGCTTTAAAATAATGAGTCCCAGAAGCCCTAGCTGGAGGTTACAAATGACTGCACAAATACTAGTCTTCAAAGACATAGAATCTGAGGCCTATACCTCAACGGCAGAGACTCTCAAACCTTGCCGTTGATTCCCTTCTGTTAATGATCAAGATTCAGAAACATGACCAAACTTAGCTGCTCACAGGCTTGTTGAATGTTTTATTTATATCAGGAGTCATAAATTCAAATATTGGTACAAGGACCAAACAGGTGAAGTAATTGTGTGAAGCAAAGTGGAGACCGAGCAAATAAAATGGCCTGGTGAGGGTTAGGGGCTGCAGCTCAGTTGTAGTCAGTTGTTGCCATAGGAGAATATGTGCCCTCCCCATTGTTAAAAAATAAATCCAAACTACAGGCTCTTTAATGAGATCTTCCAAATTTTAAATGTCACCTCAGCTTTCTAAAATGAAGATTAAAAACTGACCCAAATAAAACACACATGTCCACATATGTTTTTCAGGGAAGGGTTTTTGTATCTGTTCACTGCTGTATTCCTAGGCTACCAAATGAATTCAGCCTGTAGGCCTCAAATTTGCAACTTCTGACTTATATGTAAATAAATAATAAATGTATTCTTTTTTCTGTTTTGAGACGGAGTCTCACTCTGTCGCCTAGGCTGGAGTGCAGTGGCACGATCTTGGCTCACTGCAACCTGTGCTTCCTGGGTTCAAGCCATCCTCCTGCCTCACCCTCCTGAGTAGCTGGGACCACAGGCGTGCGCCACCACATCTGACTAATTTTCATATTTTTAATAGCGACAGGGTTTCACCATGTTAACCAGGCTGGTCTTGAACTCCTGACCCCAGGTGATCCACCCACCTCAGTCTCCCAAAGTGCTGGGATTACAGGTGTGAGCCACCTCACCTGGCCAAGTGTTGTATTCTTAGTCTTCTGGAAAAACATAATGTGGTAATCTTAAAGGCTGAAATAAGGCAATAAGTGTTTCCTTTTGCTGTCATTTTATAGAAATGTAATTAGGTTAAATATTATAGCTTAAGTCTGTGTTTTAGTTCAAGGTTCATTGTGACTCTTGTTAATATGCTGGTTTTCCTTTTACTAGCTGCACATTATCATTATATTCACCATTTGTTTTTTATTCCCTATTAAACTTTCATGATGTTTAAGGGGTGTCATAATGATTTTTGTGATGACATTTCCAGTGACATTAGGACCGCCTAATGGCTGGGGAAGTTCATAGACTAGAAGGAATGGAATTTCTTTTTAAATTTGTGATGGAATTCCCCCAGTCTTAAGACAACAGTAGATTCTCATTACAAACATGCATTCTGGAGTTTTTTGGTGTTTTTTTCTCCATGGTGGCAGTTATATTAGCTCTGCATGCCTTTGGAAAGATGTATAATAAATATTTAAAACACAGGAGCTGATAACTATACCCAAGAATAAATTATGTTTTAAACTAAAACTGTGGTATATTCTTGTCTATATCTAGATCTTTAAGAATACTGTTTACGAGAATTAGTTGTAATGAATTTAAGAAGTTGCATATAGTAGCTTCCCTAACTTTTGAATGTTAAAGTGTTAACCTAGTTTCAGACATGTGTTTCAAACTTACATCTTTTCAGTGTTTCGGCCCTTCTCTGATTTATTGAATCAGTAAGATTTCTTAAAGATAATCAAGTTATGTATGGGAAAGCTTATCTTTCCCTTACTCTGTTCTCATTGCTTTAGCCTTATGCCAGCCTGGACCATTTTGGAGGCAGTGTAGGATCATGGAAGAACTTTGAATTAGGTGAATTGCATTCTGTACTTTTCTGTAGTTAACAGTTTTGTAACCTTTGACCGGTTAATAACCTTTTTAGACTTGACTGGGGTGATCTATGAAGTGGTGGTAACAACCTCACAGAGTTGTGACAATTTTGAAGTAAGTACCTAGTAACGGTGCTCCCTAGACATTGGCTTAAAGTTAGTCATCAGCTCTATACAGTTGTGAGTGCACCTGGTGATCACAGACCTACTCACCCCATGTTCTCAAACCAGACTACTCTTCTTGTTTTCTAATTGCCCCTTTTTCTGCTCGTATCCCCCTGGAACCTCATAATTCTTTTCTGAAATTATACATGCTCAGAACGTTTACTTAACATTTATGCTAAACCCCTTTTCTCACCTCTTTGTCAGTGCTTTACATCATTCATTTTCTGAAATTCCACTTTCCATTTTCTCTTTCCACACCAACCATAAGAGAAGTGACACCATTCTTTAGCCTTGGCTAATAGGTTTACTTCCTTGGCTCACTGCTTTAAAATCTTACCTTAGGCATGCCTGTTTATTTGTTCAGTGTGTGAACTTTGGATCTTTTTGTTCAGGATCAGCTATTTCACATATCGAGTACTACAAAGCAGAGATTACATAAATATGTATATAAATGGTTCTCTATGACACCCCCCAAGTAGGTGATAACATGATTATTATAATGCATTTGTTATCCTTTTCTGTTTGCTCCTAGGTTTTTAGAACTTCAGCCATAAAAATGGGCAGAATTTTCCTTGATCATATCGGTGGTACCCGTCTGTTTTCTTGTGCAAACTGTGATACGATCCTGACCAACCGCTCAGAACTCATCTCCACTCGTTTCACAGGCGCCACTGGAAGAGCGTTTCTTTTTAACAAGGTTAGTGAGAAAAAGTTTGAATCCTAAGTGGGCTCATTGGCTGTATTTGACAGCAACACCAGAATACCCCCTCAGAGTTTAGAGATACCAGGAAGAGTCAGAATGAGAACTTGAAATCTACAGAAATGATTGCCCACTAGCTCGTCTTTGATGGGACCTTAGGAAGGTGTTACTAGGATGTGGTTTTAACCTTGGAAGTTTGAAGAAGTAGGCCGGGCACAGTGGCTTATGCCTGCAATCCCAGCACTTTGGGAGGCTAAGGTGGGTGGATCACGAGGTCAGGAGTTCGAGACCAGCCTGGCCAACATGGTGAAACACCGTTTCTACTAAAAATACAAAAATTAGCTGGGTGTGGTGTTGCGCACCTGTAGTCCCAGCTACTTGGGAGGCTGAGGCAGGAGAATCGCGTGAACCTGGGAGGCAGAGGTTGTGGTGAGCAAAGATAGCTCTACTGCATTCCAGCCTAGGCAACAGAGTGACACTCAGTCTCAAAAAAAAAAAAAAAAAAAAAAGTATAAAGAAGCATATACTTTTCCTGTTGCCTCAGGAAATGTTCAGTGTAAGAATTTGGTAGCGACTTCAGCGCAGACTATGGAAGGAACAGGTCAAGACACCCACCTCCCTTTCTCCACATGCCACTGGTTTATCCATATAGGGGGATAGTGGCATTAAACTATTATAACTTGACAGCAAATAAGGATCATCTAACCAACTTTTCATGCTCTAATTCATGCTCACCAATCATCCTTCCAATTCTATTTGGTTTCTTACATGGATTTGCTGACAGGAAGAGTGTTTCTAATTTGCAAGTGTGTACCCAGTCTGCCTGTCTCTAATTTCTGGCTTGCATTCAAGTTGGATGCTGTGTTTCTGCCTCCTAGAATCTAGTGTATAATAGAAAAGTTGAATTTCCAAGTATTTTAGGCCAAGGAACATAGCTAGTCTAGGGTACTGTTCTTAGAAGATCAGATGAACTTCCCCAGTGGGTACTCCTCTGTTCCATGTAGAAAGAAGCTTTTCTCAGAATTGATGGAGCATACTCTTTGACATTTATTTCGGTACAGAGGAGGGCACACTGCAGCAGGACAGCTGCCTGTTTTTGTAAATGTAGTGGAACACAGCTCTGCTTATGCATTACGTATTGTCTACAGCTTCTTTCATGCTACAGTGCCAGAGTTAAAAAAGTTGCAACAAAGACCACATAGCCCTCAAAGCCAGAAATATGTACTATCTGGCCCTTTACAGAAAAGGAAAGTGTAGAAGATTGTTGGGTATTCAGAATCAGTGGAAATTCGCCACAGGTTGTCTCAGACCCACTTCATTGTGTTCATTGTCTTTGAACTCACTCTAAAACTATGCATTGCAGATATATGGTCTGTAGTTAGCTTAATCTGTCCCAGTCTATATATAAAGTATATTTTCAGAAACAGACTGTTTCATGGAATAACGATGGGGCATCAGGTTCTTTTACATTGATTGTATTACTTGCACTCATCATTGAATAGTGATGAATTACTACAATTGGACCCAAACCTACATTTTATGGCTCCAATTCCAGGACTCTTTCTTACCTGCAACACAGAAATGTAGTATGTTTTAATAGTGTGACTTAGGCTAGTACAGTAGTGCATGATTGCATTAGATGTCTAGTGTTGTGGAATTTCCAGATGTCTGCCTGCCCCAGCAGCTTCTATAAATAAGTCTTGGGTATTATAGGTTTGACTAAAGTAACAACTTCTTTCTCCTTTTCTGAAGTTGCTGTTGCATTAACCATAATATTTTGTACATACTTGGCAATATAACTCACATGCCTTTGCAATTTTGTTTTTCCTTGTCCCTTCTTAGGTAGTTAACCTGCAGTACAGTGAAGTTCAAGATCGGGTCATGCTCACTGGCCGCCACATGGTTCGAGATGTGAGCTGCAAAAACTGCAATAGCAAACTGGGATGGATCTATGAGTTTGCCACTGAAGACAGCCAGCGATATAAGGAAGGCCGCGTGATCCTGGAACGTGCTCTAGTTCGAGAGAGTGAGGGCTTTGAGGAGCATGTACCATCTGATAACTCTTGAAGATACAGAGAGAAATCCATCTTTTCCCAGGTCTCCTTCACTGAAAACAAAAATCTACTTACATACACTGTCACCTTAGCATCAGAGTCGGATTAATGAACTGCGGAACAAGAGGTTGTGAGAATCTAAGATGGAACCTTTCTTTCTTTTTTTTTTTTTTTTTTATTTTGTATTTTCCATCCAACAGCAGTGTGTAGAGAGAATATTATGCAGATGCCGTTAATTTTTTACCCTATGTTTACATCTTGAGGCAGAAGAGTCTGCAGCTATGTGGTGAGCTATGTAAGGAAAAAAATCTGGGCTGTTAGAGTGAAAAAGTGTGTTTTATGTAAATTTTGAAAGGAAAATGTTAGGAGTATGGTTTTTAAACTTGGGCTTCATTTTAAACTTTTTCTTTTAAACCCAGTTATCTCACTTGATTTGCTAGCTCCAGAGAAGAGATCCGAATCTGTGCCCAGCGCTAAAGGCTCAGTGTTAGCATGGCTTGTGCTGGCCGGTGTGCCATATTCTTGTTGGAGATGAACCGTAGCACCAGAGCCCATTCTTCCTTGTCAGTCTTGACCCAAAGATGCCACCATTCCTAGTTATTTGTCACCACATAATTGGTGTTGATTGGAAACTTCTGAGATGGGACAGAACTGCTGGGTTGTCTTTTTCCATGTAACTTAAGCATAGTAATATAAATAAAGTAATAGTTGGATGCTTTTGGTCCTGTGTTGCTTTTAAAAACACCTTATAAAAGAGGAGAGGATTTGATAAGCAATTTTCATAGTAGTAAAGTTTCTTTTCATCTCTTAAACTAAATTGACCATGCATATAACGTTCTTTGTTTAAATGAAAGCATACTGTTTAAACCTGCAGTATTGCATTTAGAGAACAGTTGAACAGAATGTCAATGTGCATTCATGCAAAAACCAATTAATCTGCATCTGTTTTAGAAAAGGGGGAAATGAAGCAACTTATCTGAAAATACTGCTTTACACAGCATTTCAGCCTTTTCCCCTCAGTTTTGCATTGATTTTTGACAAGTCTGTAGAGCCTAATAGTTTTCATCAAAGGCCTAGATCTCTTAAGAGCATTTTTTTCAGCTCTTCCCTCAGAAATTCAGCTATTGAAACCAAAACTGTACTTTGTACCCTCAAATAGAAAGGGATCAAATTTGACCTGGTGTTATTTTAGCCCCAAATTTATGACATTACAAAGTATTAAAATGTAAATGTTTCTTTATCCAAACTACTTCTAGGTATTTTAGTATTTGTTTCTGGTGGAATTAAATGATGGTAAAATTGGCTAATTATTTGAATGAATGAATGGATGGATGGATGTTTTGCATGCTCAATTTCTAGGTCCTTTGTCTAGAAAGGAAATTTGCCTCAGTTGAATTAGTGAAATATTTCTGTCGTTAATACTGAAAGTGACTTCTGAGTACAGTTAAGTTCCTCTTATTTGCCACTGGGCTGTTGGTTAGAAGCATAGGTAACTGATTAAGTAGGTATGATACTGCATTTGAAATAAGTGAACACAAACTACCCTTTCTCCACCATGGACTCAATCTGAGAACAGCATTCATTTCCATTCATTTCCATACTGGCTTTTGATTATATGCAGATTCCTAGTAGCATGCCTTACCTACGGCACTATGTGCATTTGCTGTCACAATAAAGTATATTTTGTCTTGCATTGGTGCAGTACTGCTACTTATTTTCCACTGATCTTGTCTAGTGATCATCTTAATTTTTATCTCTGAACACATACTTGGTATCTTTGAGTACCTGTAGCTTTCTTCAGTTGGCAGTGATAGTGATGTTCTGACATGGTTAACTGCCTAATTCACACGTGAAGACATTGACTTTGCCAGTATTAACTTCTCTGAGATCATTTTGCCTTAGCTACTGATAACTATAGTTCAGTATATATAAACAAAAGAATTTCATATTACTGGGTAAACTTTTAGGTGACTGGCAGGTACCAGCAACAAGCTCCTCTGTGCCTTTTAAAAACTTCATTTGCAAAAAAAAAAAAAAAATATATATATATATATATATATATGAATGAAGGTCTACTTTGGATTATTTACAGAAACCATTGTTCTTTTGAGATGGGGATACTAATTAATAGGAATGAGTTTTGCTTTGGGATACGAGAGTTAAACAAGTACAGGTGAACTTAACTTAGTAGGTTACTGAGGAATAGACAGATTTAAGCTTTCTTTCCCCTGACCGAAGAGGAAGATTCTTCCCCTTAGTTTTAGGTGGCCGTATAACCGTAAGTTGTTTTGATCTTAAAGTGCTTTTATTTAGACTCTCAAGTGAACATTCCTGGTTAAAAATAATTTTTAGTAATTATGTGAAGATTTAAGTTACAGTTAGGAGTTGTTACTTTGGGATTGGAGGGGGAAAATATCAGTACCATCGTTTCCTAAATTTACCTACTCATAAAGTCATGTTTAAATCAGAGGCTGGGCCCAAGCCCAGGCTTAAGTCAGTCAACAGGTAATTTTTGGTGGGGCAGAATTAAACTACCAGTTGTAAAATATTCAGACATGTTTATGATGATTCATTCCTAAACATCAGTTATAAAAAAAATCTCAGTTTAAACAGATCCACTAATCGTTCATCTGTTTAACACCTGTTTCCTACCAGGAGCCATATAAATTTACTTCTAATCTATGTGAATTGGGAATAAAGCAAGATTAAACTGAAGGACTCTTATCAGGCTAGCACGTTGCACTGATAAGATATCTATTATAGGAAGAAAACAGAACTAAGCAGAAATTAGGGTGGATACTCTTACGTTGGGTGTTAATTGCATGGCTTATTTTAAAATATTGGGCTTCTCAAACTGAAATTTCTGTGGTAAAGCATAAAATACACATTCAAAAGCATCGGTAAAGGTTGTATAATCCTAAGCATCACTTTGCATATTTAGGTTTTAAAAATCATCTGCATCCAGCCTGGGCGACACAGCAAGACTCCATCTCAAAAAAACAAAAAAAAACCCATCTGCAGCATGAGCACCTGGGAGCCTTGTTAAACATGTCAATTATGTCCTTATTCCCCTCCCCAGTACTGAATGGGTCTCAGGTGGAGCCAAAACTCCAGTTTTTTTTTTTTGTTTTTTTTTTTTTTTGGCCAAACTCCAAAAGTAACATGTTTCTTTGATGCTGTGAAATATGTATTTGGTCGTCTGGTCTTCGTCCCCATTTCCTAGCAATACAATCCCTAAAATCCTTGGAGTTTTCAAAAGATTTTCTTTGTGTGTGCTAATAGAGACTGATAGCCAGGGTAGAACTGGTCACGGGAAAGATACAGGCATGATTAGAGGTAAGGTGGTTCCAGCCTCACAGAGCAACCTCCCGGGAGGGGAAAAGGGTTGCAGGTCAAGTTGATTACCAATTGCTGTCAGAGAGATGGGATTTGCTAGAAGGGCCTTGGCTCAGAAAGGTGGACAAGAAAAATGATGAAAGGGTGATGGTCAGAAACCTTTGATTCCTGGGTGGCCACATGGCCACCCATGGTATACAGCTGCAACTGCACTCAATTACTACCAGTGAAATTTGGAGATGGATCCAACTTGTAGAGAAGTGATTCACTGGATGCACAAGGAAATGCAAGCTAATAAAAAAAAAAAGTGAACTGTACAATCCCTTGGTTATTATCTATAATAGCTAAAATGAAACAGAGTGCTGGGTCCAACTTTGATGCTGCACCAAGCTTGGGTTTCAGGCCGAGCTTCACTAGCCTCAGAGCCACCCACAAAGGCAAAGTTACGCAGCAACAACAAAATCTCAGATCTATGGTTACCAAGAAGGTAGTCAATGTCGGGGAAAAGCAAAACCAAGTAACTTGAAACCAGAGGGTATAGTGTACAAGGATTTGTTGCATTGCATAGATCAGTATCATTAGCTTCCTGAAGAACCTTTACTAAAATGGACTATGAGAGTAATTTAGGGGCAGTATCTTTAGTTTCAAATGCTGCAGAATGGAAGAAATGTTTGGGTTGATGGAGGACCCACAGTTCACTATTGAAAGATTGCAGATGGCTAAACATGATCCAGACACACGGGTTATTCCTGAAGAATAGCTAGTCTGGTGGACTGGATTTAAAAAGCCCCTGTAAGATCTGTTTACCCCGAGAATGGGAACTGTCCAACTTCCCCTATAAATGCGAGGCAGAACACTCAAGATAAAGCAGCTAATATACTTGATGTGCAAGCCATGTGGGACTGACTTTATGATGACCGGGATAGTCACCCACCATGTATGCCCATTACCCATGTCATGGCCAGTGCTATAGCTAAGAGAGCCCCATTTTCATGGGCACCTCATACAACCTTGCTGCTACAAAACATCTGCTAATACATGACAATCATTATTCAAAGGGTTATTGAAAATATAGTTGTGGTATAAAACTATAAATCTGATAAAATCTGATAAAAGCCTATGACACAAGAGGCTGATAGGCTAAGAAGTATGGGTAAGAAAAAAAAAACATTAATATGGCTTTCCATCTGCTTTAAAAAGTGTCTTAAAATGGATTAATACACCAATTTGATAAACTGGCTTTAAGGAGTGGAAGAGTCCCTGGGAAAGAGGCACCTAGTTTCTAGGAAGACTGCTACATGTAAAATCACCGGGCACTGTGACTCACGCCTATAATCCCAGCAATTTGGGAGGCCGAGGCGGGCAGATCACAAGGTCAGGCGTTCGAGACCAGCCTGGCCAACATGGTGAAACCCCGTCTACTAAAAATACAAAAAATTAGCTGGGCGTGGTAGCAGGCACCCAGCTACTCGGGAGGCTGAGACAGGAGAATCACTTGAACCCGGGAGGCAGAGGTTGCAGTGAGCCGAGATTATACCACTGAACTCCAGCCCGGGTGACGGTGCGAGACTCCGTCTCAAAAAAAAAAAAATAGTAATAAAGAAGACATATCTGCAATGCTGACTAACTTTAGCTGTGTGACTTTGGGAAGTCAGTTAACCTCTGAACCTTAGTTCTCTTAAGTATGAATTGTAAAAACAAGCCCCGTCTTAAATCTTGTCAGAACATAGTGAAATATAGATCATAAAAACCTGTTGATAAGCAGTATGCATGTAACTGGAGTAACTACTTTTTTCAGTAATCCTGAACAACTCTTCACAATTTAACCTAATATGTTCTAAATTATAGAATGACCAGAATGCTTTCAAAGTTCTTTAAATCCTTTCTGGACTTAACTTGTACTGCTAAACCTTTCAGCAAATGAGGATTTGAAATCTGCAGTTTATTAAATGTTACCGTCTTGACTTTTCATTATAAGGAATTTTTCATAATCTGCTGTAATAGAATTGTACATTGCTTTCAAAAGTCTTCAAAGCTGCTATTTTCCTCCTGCCATGGAGCAGAAGAGAAAAAGGTGAAAAGCTCATTGAATATAATATCAATGGTAATTAAAAGGCCATCATTTCCCCCCGCAGACAAGCTAACTTTGAGAACCTGCCAGAGCTTTCACTAATAGCAACGGACTCATTTTCTCCTGTGTTGGTGTCAGCTTATTGCATACTACTGCTATAATGATGTTCGTCCAGTTTTTAAAGAATCCTAAGGTTGTGAGATAAATGGCTTATATACCTCTTCTGATGTGCCCTACAGATGAACAAGTTATCTCTTCCACCTGGATTTAAAGCAAAATACAAAGACAAATCCCATGTAGTAATTTTAAAAACCCGTATCCAAAGAAAATTTGAAAACCCAGCTTTGCAGGTGATATTTGTGTCCTTGAGGATAGGCCAGAGGTTTTTAGGGACTGGAGCAGTCTGAGAAATCCCCTAATGTGCCCCTGATCCAGGAGAGGAGAAAGCCACTCCTCAGAATTCACTCAGAATTTCCCTCTTCTTCTGCAGTTGAACTGCCACGGAGGGAGCTGGCCACCACCTTCTCAACGATCCCACTCTACCTGGAGCCCTCCCAGGAAATACTGGGCAAAGTGGAGACATTACTATGAACTCCAGAAGATTCCATGAGTGTAATCTCTTCCCAGCTAACCCATCTCCCTTGTTCCCAGCCCAATGCAAGGTGCTCAGAGGCGTTTCTGAAGCTTGTCAACAGGCCAAAAGGAATAAAATATTTCAGTCCCTTTCAAGTGAGTCAGATTCTGTGTTAGAGAAGGCTTCTTAGGGCAACAACAGGAAGCGAGTTTCAAAGTTTGAGGGGGCGGTATTTTTAAGAACTGGGCTAATGAGTAAAACATTCAAATGATCCTGCTAAAGTTTACACTGAAAAAAAATGTTTTTAATTAAAAAAAAAAAATCGGCTGGAACCTTTGCTACAAGAAAAGTACCAGTAGGGGGCATGAGTGTGCAAGAAATTCCATTCTTAACCACCAGTCTGACCTATCTTGGAAAAGAGAAATGTTGCGGCAGTCACTTCTTGTTGCTGTTCGTCCACTAGGGTGCAGTACCCGGTGCTGATGCAAGGGACCATCTTACTACAATGGCACGACGTCATTGGGCAACATCAAATTATGGAGAAAATGCTTTGCAAACTATCAAGTGCGATGCAATAGTACTGTTTCCTCTTTACGATACATAATTTTTTTCTGCAATATTTGTTTTAGTATCTAAAGCTTTAGCTTATACAACTTCAAAAATGTTTTTTGTCAAAAACTATGTTTTAATATTGGCCTTAATTTGGTAACGG